GAAGAGGAAGAGGAAGAGGAAGAGGAAGAGTACGAGTAAAATGGTGGGTGTGCTTTCGAACAAAATCCAGAAGGACGAATTAAAGCCTGGCGACCACATCTATTCTTGGAGACACTCGTATATCTACGCTCATCACGGTCAATTCTCTTTTTCTATTTTGGACTCTTATTTTTTTCCAGAGCCTTTTTAAGTCAATTATATTGTTTATTTTGAGCATTGTCATACTAAAATTATATTTTTGCGATTTCTGTTGTTTATCTCTGTGGCATTGATTAATTTGGCTGCTGTTGTACTCTAGATGAATGTTGAGTTTCTAAGCAAAAAGTCAGAGATTAGGAAGGAAGAAAAATAAGAGAATTGCAATTTCAATTTTAATTTTAATAGGAAGTGATGAAACGTCATTGGATCATTCACGAAATCCTTTTAATTTTATGATTAAATTTTACTTTGTCCTTATTTGTTATTGTAATAGGTGAGCGACACAGAATAATCTCTGAAGAAGGCTTATAGGAACTGCTGTTTGCAGATCTAAGGCAACAGTGGAATTGGGAAATAGATTGATGAAAGTAAAATCATAGATTTAAACCAAGTCTGCAATTTAAACATGCAAACATAAATGATTTAAACTTGTAACAGTCTAGACTCTCCTTAAGGCATTTGCTCCCTCCAGGACTAAAAGCATCTAGGAATTGATTGCTGAGATGGAAGAAATTGTTGTTCCTAAGGACTTCTTCTTGGGTCATAACATTGTAGAGTGGACATATCATATAGGCTTTTCCCGAAATAGTCATCACCCATGGGCTTTTTATGATAAATAATTTTTCCTTCCTCCCTTTCTCAGAGACAAAAGCAGAAGCAAGATCAATGCTAGATTTTTTGTGTGTACACATAGTTGATGACAAATTTTTTGGTATATGATCTTATCATAGGAAATATCGTTCAAGGGTCACAAAATTTATGATAATTGGAACCATAGCCTTTGTAATATTTTAGGCAGTCCCATGCTCATGTTGTTCCAAAAGAGTGATTATTTAGGTTTTTTTAGGATCAACTATTAACAAGATAAGAGAACGTGAAGAAATGAGTGTGTTAGATGAAATGAAGAAGTCATAAATAGAGATTCTATGTGATACGAAAGTACTGTTAAGGTTAAAAGATAAGTTCTACGAAGTGGTTATTGTACCTGCTATGCTTTATGATACTTGATGTTGGGTCATTGAAGGAGAAAATGTCTAAAAGATGAAAGGAGGTGTAATGTGGATGTTAAGATAGAGGTGTGATCATATTACAGTGGATATGATGAAGATATGAGGATACAAGACAACAAGTGAAGATGAGACCAATTACAGGTAAATTAAATGATAGACGATCTAGCCATTTATGTTGTAAGTACGTGTCTTGAACAAAAAGAGAAACTTCTATTCGTAAAAGTGATTTGATCCTAGTAGAACATGTTACAAGAGCGGGAGGGAAAAAACAAAATTATAATGGCTTGTTTTGGTTTTGAATGATATTATTGCTTTGAATCTTTCTGTAGATGAAGCAATGGACCAAACAATGTGGCAAGAAAAGATCCATATACCAAATCCCAAATTACTTGAACAAGACTTGGTGGTGATGGTTGTCTCAAGCAATCCCAGGCTAAATAGTACATCATATATGAGCTTAAAAGGCTGCAACTTAGTAATCTTTTGTTTTGGGGGGGGGGGGGGGGGGGGA